AAATCAGCTTGTGTGGGGACCTGCCCCAGCATCAGGGCGGGGGCAGGTCTCCGCACAAGCTGATTTGCGCGGGGCTCCACACCCTCCTCAGGCTGGCTCCAGTATGGGGCATATCAACTCATGCAGGGACCCACCTCCTGTTATTCGGCAGGCAGATTGGGGCCCCCTGCACTCCCGGGAGTTGTTGGTAGAGCTGATATGTCCTAGGCCCCATACTGGAGCCGGCCCAAGGAGGGTGCGGGGTTGGGGCAAATCAGCTTGTGCAGGGACCTGCCCCTGCCCTGGGATTGGGTTGGGGGCAGGTCCCCGCATGAGCTGATTTGCCCCGGGCCTGCCTGTCACTGGCCCCAGGCAGCAGCACCAGCCTCCTGTGATCTGGGAGGGCTGCAGGGGCTCTGCTGGACTCCTCCCAGTGGTGTGGTCCCCCAATCTGCCTGTCAGATGACAGGAGGCTGGTGCTGCCGGCTGGGGTCAGCGGCAGCACCAATCTTCCCAGTGCTGGATGGGCGAAACATTGAAACAACATTGAAACAGCGAAACTGTTTTGATGAAACGAAACAAAATGGAACAGTGCTTTTGAAATGAAACAAAACTTGAAACAAAACACTGTTCCATTGAAATGTCAAAATGGAAGTTGAAGTGGAACAGTGCCATTTCACCCAGCCCTACCTTCCAGCCCTAATGTCTATGAAATCTATTAAATCTATTTTGGGTGGAGGGCTGCTTACTGACTTCTGGCAAGCTGTCAAGGCCACATGGGTAGCCCCGCTCCTTAACACGTGCCACGCCCCCTGGGCACCATCTTGTGGTTGGAAGTCCCACCCCCTAACCTTGACCTTTTCTCCCAGAAGTACTCCTTTCAGCAAGGGGTTTTGCCATCTCAGACCCTATTTTTTTGTTGAACCAGACAAATACCAAATTATGTTCTAAAAATCGAACATATACAACATTCATTAATTTGATTTCAAAAAATCTTTTTGTCCTGATTTCCATTCTTTGTGTAGTGTACACAGAGGTGATGGCACAATAGCTTAAAATGAAGTCTTATTCTTGTACATTGTGGGGGAGTGTGCGCATGAGGGGGTGGGTATAGGTTTGTGGGGGGCTGTGGGTGTGTGGGTATGTGGGGGGTGGATAGGTGTTGGGGTATGGGGTGAGAGAGCATGTGGGTGTGTGTGGATATGTAGGGTGTGGGTGGGTATGAGGTTTGTGGGAGGAGCTGGGATGTGTGAGGGGATGTTGGTGTGGGGTTTGCATGTTATGGCAGTATGGGGGGTGTGTGGATATGGGAGCATGTGTATGGTGGGGGGTGCATGTGGGGCTCTCCCTATGAACACACACACACACACACACACACACACACACACATGCATACGCTGTCTCTTCCTCACTGTGCATGTGCACACACACATACACACCCTCTCCTGCTCCTGGCCCCGGGACACAGGCATCAGGAGCAGTTGGTGGGTGGACAGGGAAGTGCTGAAAGTAGCAGCAGGTGGGGGGAGTGGGAGCAAGCAGGCGCGCAGGAGCTCAGTGACAGCTGGGTGGGAGTGTGGGGCCCATGCTAGTGTCCCAGGTCCAGCGCTGGCAAAACCCAGAGCAGGGTGACCAGACCATGGGGTCCTGACCGGCAGGGGCTCTCTGGAGCCAGGCTGGCTCCCCTCTCTCTTTGCTGGGGCAGCCCAGTCTGGCTCTGTAGACCCCTGCCAGTCCATGCCCCATGCTCCTGCTGCCCTACTCTGGGTCCCACTGGTGCTAGCCTGGGGACACCAGTGTGGCCACACGCTCGTGTTCAGCTGTCACTGCACTCCCATGTGCCCACTTGCTCCCATTCTCCTCCCCATCCCCCGCCACTGCTTTCCCCACTTTCTTGCCTGTCACCACAGTGCTCCAGTACCACGTGGTTCCTGGCTGCATGGCCGTGATGGCAGGACTCAGCAGGAGCTGGCCCAGCCCCGAGGACTGAGGTGATAGCTTGCGTTCTCCCCTGCCTCTCTCCTCCCCGCTTCCCTCCCTGCATTCTTATCTGAATTCCCTTCTCCAGCACAGGGAGACAGGAACAGCCCCATGGTCCCAGGGCAGAAGACTCTGCTAGGCAGGGGCTTTTAGTTGGGGGTGGAGGTGGGCCAGGCAGGCCTTGCTGTTGGGTCCTGCTGCCAGCTTCCTCTGGCTTGTACTGCCCCTGGCTCCTGTCATCTTTGACAGGCAACCAGGAGAAGATAAATATTCATTTTCTAAAATGTTATGGGCCCTGCAGTCTGGATAGAATGGCCTGGCGGACTGGACCTGGCCTGCGGGTCATATTTTGCCTGCCCCCAGTTTCAGGGCACAGGAAGCATGCATGATCCAACATTCTCAAGTGGTGTTCCCAGTAAAAGGATACCTGAAAAAGTAAGGTTAGGGCATTTTGACGAACCTGAAGAAAAAAGGGAGTTTGCTAAGGCAGGCCAGATCCACTGTTAATGACCTGAGAAGCAGTGGTTGCCATGCACAGAATATGTAGTGTTTTCAAGTAGACAAGGTTATCCCTGCTTAACAACTTTTGGAGAGATGTCAGGGGCCACAAGGGTATCCCCACCCCTTGACAGGTGCCCTGCCCCCTGATTGCCATTTTGAGACCATAAGTCTCACCCCTAACCCTGACCTTTACCACTGGAAGTCTCTCCCCTTGCCTCCCCCTGAAAACACTCCTTTGGTTAGGGGGAGGGGTTGCCATTTGGAACTGGAAAAAACCAACAAATCATATACTAAAAATCAAACATCTACCATAACAGGTTAATTTTCTTTCAAAACATATTTTTGTTCTGATTTATTTGTGTTGGCACAGTGTATTTAGAGGTGATTGCATAATAGCTCAAAATAAAGTTTTACTCTTGTATATTGTGTGTGGGGTCTCGTTGGTGGGGTGGGTGTAGGATTTGCGGGTATGTGTGGGGGAGTTGTGAAAGGGTGTTGGTGTGTGTGTAGGTGGGTGTGGGGCTTGTGGGAGGTTGTGTGGGGGTGTAGGTATGTTGGTGGGGGTGTGTGGGAGACTATAGGGGGTGTGGGCACAGAGCCCACTTGGCCTGATGGCATGTGACTCTCTGTAGCTCCCAGTCCACACACTACTGGGTGAGGTAGGCTCTGTGCTACCATGTGCACCTCCCTGGCTCTCCTTCCAGGAGCTGCGTGAAACTGGGCTGGCAGGGCTGCCTCCATGCCAGCACATGGGGCTCCTGGCACTGCAGCCAGGAGTGTGTGCTGCTGGGCTGGGCTGGGCTGGGCTGGCTCCATGCCTCCTTGTGCAGCTCCCTGCTGGAGTACTGGAAGACCCACATGGAGGCACGGAGTCAGCCTGACACAGCCTGATGGGCACACGGCTCCCACCTGCAGTGCCGGGAGCCTTGTGTGCTGGCACAGAGCCAGCCCAGCCTGGCCTGAAGGTGCACATCAGTGGGCCAGGCCAGACCAGCTCCATGCTGCCACATGCAGCTCTTGGGGTTCAGTTTGAGCCACACATTGCTGGGGGCTCTGCCTGCCACGGGCCATGAGCGCCCCAAAGGCCTGCTGCCTGCTGCCAGTGGTGGGGGCTTTGTGCCATGGAGGTGGGTGTGGTGGGGGGACCTGCAGCTGGAGTGTCAGGAGCCCCACAGAGGGGGAGACACAGAGCCTGCCCATTCTGATGGCATGTAACTTCTGAAAGCCTGCCTCCTGCTGACTTTCAGAGGGCCAGCTACAGGCTGGTAATACTTGTTTTTTGGAGGGGCACTGTGGACTGGATAGAATGGCCTGGCAGGCCGGATGTGGCCCGTAGGGCATATTTTGCCCACCTCTGCATTATCTGGTTTGTTCATGTTTAGACCCATGGTCCAAAGGATCATTTCTTAAATAGTGGCATATAGAAAAATTGGCATTAGGTAGGCTGTGGTCAGGTGGTATACAACTTGTTTTTGAGGGCTGTGTCCAAATGAAACGTCATTAAAGTTATTTAGCGCTCTGCATCTACTAAACTGCCATAAAATGGCAAAAGTGGCACAAGAAGACTTTTGGCTTGGTTATTTCAGGATTTAAAATCTGAGAAAGCTGGGTTTAGGAATATGCAGCATATTTTTACAAATATGTAGATATCAAGCTGATTTCTGATGGCACTAGTGCTCAGAGCCCTTATGGTTTTTGCCACCAAACTTGTAGTACACAGAGTGGCCTATCAAGTGTCGTATCAGGAGTCAGGTATCATGACGTGCAGGGACCTCTGAACTGGGGCTGGTAGGAAAGGATAAAAATATTGTATTGCGCATGTAAGGGATTTAGTGAAATACAAAAATCTAAAGATACAAAAGTTGCAAAATGCTTAAAGTTTATTAATCATCATCCTCACTTTCCTTCAAAAGAGACCAAAAAACAAAAACAAAAAAAACCCAAAACAAAATAGAAAAAAGAAAATATCCCACACCCAGATATGAACTGAGGTTAGAAAGTGGGGACAACATTATTGCTGAAGGTTATAGCCCAATACACCTATTTTTCCAAAAACAAAATAAATAGCAATAGTAAAACATTTTAAAAAAACTCAGCTTCCTTGGAAAGAATTTATATTAATATAATTACTTTTGTTAAAAAATCCTTCATATGCCTCTTTTGACAAAAAATATATATTTCTTCTGTAAACAGTTAACCAAGAACATGTAATAAAAATGTTCAAATTTTCATATCATTACTATGCTGATAATCTCATGTAAACAGAGAATATTCTGCAGCAGCTTTGCATGGTAGGATTTCTTTCTTTCTATCTTTCTTTCTTTTCCCAAGAATATTGATGGAAAACCACCCATTACAAATCACCCACAATCTTGAAAGTTTGAAGGTTTAAGATGATGCAGTTTCTACCATGTAAATTCTTTCACGTAAAAAAAGGGAGGAAAATAAAGTTCGTATTTTTTCTGGTGTAGATTGTTGACGTTGCTGGGATGAAAGCAGATTTAACAGTAGTAAGTCTACTTCAGTGAAATGATTAGTCATTTTTAAGTTGGTATGGAACACACTGTAATGACTGTGGCTAGTGAAACTTCGTTAACTATACAGTGATGTTTATTTTATGCTTGGACTTGCACAGTCACAGTAAAGAAAAATCAAGCCAAAAAGAAGAGACTACTGCTTATGGCAAAGATTTTCTGTAAGAGCTGTGAAAATAGTTGCAGTAAAATTTAACTTGATTTCACTGCATGAAAGGAAAAGTATCACTCAGAAAAAAACAAACCTCAAGATTTCCTTATCTTAGAACCTCTCAAGTTGCAAGGAAAAGATTCTCAGAGCAATGAGATGAATTGTTAATGGAAGCTGAAATAATTAGGAAACAGAAATGTTTAGCATATATAGAGAGAACTTTATCTGTATGTCCAAAATTTTAGCTGCTTTAGAAACGATTTATTTCAGTCTATATTCTGCTCTTCCTGGCTTTGGTTCTTTCATCTGTTGCTTGGTTTTAGCCTTGCCATTGTTGCTGCTGGATCTGTTCCTGTTGCTGCTGTTCCTGTACCTGTGCTGGGGTGGTATGGCTGCTTTGTGGGATGCACTGGGAGCCCACACATCCGCACTCATCCACATGGATGTACGAGTAGTCGATGTGGGTTCCATTACGGCACTGCAGGGTCACATGTTTTTTGCTGGTCTTGACTTCCTGACAACACTTGCATTTATGTTCCATCATGTTCGCCTCAGCAGAATATCTGATTGGTCCCAAAGCAAAAACAGCAACAAAGAAAGACTTAGAGACACTGGTACAAAATCCAGAATCTAAATTCACACCCCTTGCTAAATATTGCCAAATGCTATATATGTGCTTTGAGAGCCTATTTGATATTAGCACTGTTACCTCATTTTTTAGGGGCAAATCCTCAGCCCAGGTTCTCAGAGGCTAAAGGCTCTATTCATTCTGCCATCAAGCTTCCATCTATTAATAACTGATAGGTCTTAAGGTGATTAACCTCAATATTCAAGTCAGCACAGCAGAAATAAACACCTGCTTGCTGGATGGATATTGGATGTATTAGAAAGGCATTGCTAATTTGCTCCCTGTCACCAGTGTAATGGAGGAGGCCACAAGGACAATGATATACAAGCGGAGTGAGTAATGAGCCTTGTATCACTTACATTGAAGAAGCAGGGCAGTTTCCTTCACAGTATGTTAGCTCAATAGGTACAGTAGCTGTGCATTCACTCTGGCTGATGACGGTAGTGGTGTTCAGTAGCTTGCAACCTGGATTTTCAGTAAACAAAGGGAAATAATAAAAATGATGTGTGAAGATTGATGTATATTTGCCATAGACAATAACTGGTAAAAATCTGAGAAGGTGGAGCTGAAATGCATTGTGCCACCTGTTGTAATGACATGTAGTTCTTACTGCTTGAGGGTACAAGGAGGGGAGCTCCCTTCCTCATTTGCACCACTGGTACAGGGCATGGGCAGAATCAACAGTTCACCAGCACATTTCAAATGCAATTCTGTTTGCTCAAGGTGATTGAATCCAGGCAGGTTAGAAAATAACCAAGGCCTTGTCCCTTCCACCTAATGGTTAAAATATAGCAGCAGAGCTAGTAAGTGAATGCTACATGTTTTCAAAGGAGTTGCAGCCAGGTGCTGGAAATGTCCTATCCCCATAGTCTCCTTTCTCACCCTGATAGTAGGCATACTTCTCAAACTCACAGGCATTCATTCTGCTTCAAACCACATTTTCTTATCCACTGTACCTATTCACCAACTACCCCAAATGGCTAATCTGCTTAAATACATTGTTTTCCTATACTGCACATTTTGTTTGCACCACAAAATTAGCCCGATTTACCTTTTGGTAGTGTTGAGCATACTTTACAGCAGCCATCCGCAGACAATGTGACTCCCTCCTAGAATGGAGAAGCAGAGGGAAGAGGTTCAGAATTAGTGTCTGTGTATCAAAGCAGGAAGCTTCCCTGCTCCCTGAGTTTCTTTGGTGGTAGCAGGGATCAGTGATCTTCACTGATACAGGTGCTTATTCTAAAGCAGGGTATAAAGGCAGTTTAAAGACAGGGGGTAATGAGTACTATATTAATACACTATTAATAAGAATTTTCTTCACAGGTTGGCGTGAAGTGGTACTTGATTCCCCATCCTGTCCTCAGAGTTTAGCATTCTAATATTGCACACAGCAACACAACTTCTGAACACTACATACATGCTGCAAATGGACCATATTCTGAGAGACTAGAATACTGCAGGAAACCAGCATTAGCAAAATAGTTAATAAAATACTGACTTCCCACTGCCCTTTGTGGACCTGGTTCCAATCAGCCCTGAAATCTTTATTGAGTTGAATTAGTTCAATTGAATTCCCTTCAAAATTTTTCCCCCCCTTCTTCTGTCTCCTAAACTGTGATTTTTTTCCAAGGCACCTGCATGAATCCAAAGACCGGTTCCATAAAGGGCAATATGATTTATGCTGTTAGGACATGTGAAACTTTTGAAAATCCCACTCTTTATTATAATGTCCCATCCTCTACCACACATTACTGTCCTCTCTACTGTATACAGAAATATGGCGTAGCTTAGGGAGGACATATTTAAAGCCACGTGATCTAAATAATCAATTTTAATCACAAGTACATCAAGAATGCTTGATTTATGTAATCTGCTTGTTTGTAATATGTTTTATTCTTGTTTCACATTTTAACGTTTTATTTATTTGCTTTTTGGCTAAAGTAAAATTCAGATTCAGATGGGATATAAAGAGAGCTGTGTAGCACAAAATGCCTGTGCTCAGATGTAGTCCTTTGAACCTGGTAAAACTGTTGTTTTGCCCATGTAGCCGTTGTCTATTCCATTTATTTAAATTAATATGCAAATTAGAGGAGAAGCACTTACTGGTCCACAGTCTTCAGGGTTCAAGGCAGCGCAGGATTTATTTCTTGTGACAACAAGGAAGTGATGATTGTTTTCTTTACATTCATAGGAGGTACAGTTATTACCAGGCAAGTACCAGGACATTCCAGGCTAGAAGTAATTAACATTGAAAAAAAAAGTTAATAGAAATCTACAGATGAGTTCTTTTGTAAAAACATCTTCCAGTTGCCTTGGTTTGGTTGTTCTGCAAAAGACTGATTAAAATCCTCAGTATCCAAATATGGTTATTATTTGTGTTGACTTTTGTAGCATTAGCAATAGCATTACTGTTGTAAGCTCCATTCATTAACAGAATGAAGAATCTAATTTTATCCATGCAATTTCTAGCTTACATCATTTCCCACTCCATATCTTATGAAGTGCCATTAAGCAATTATGCAAAAGATGTAGTGGGAACAAGCTAGATATGGTGAAAATCTGGTTTGGAGGCAGATCAAGTCAGGTGTAAACAATCTATTGGTTTTGCTATTGATTGAGTGAGGGTACATATGCATGAGAACATGGAGTTCTCCCTCAACAGGTTTATTGTACATGCGTGGAAAATGTGACCACATTTTTTCTTAACCAGAGTATCTGATAATGGTGAAAGAAATAATTTATATTGGGGGAGGAAAATTTCTTTTGTACAGAGGCAACCCAGGCAGCAGGAAAAGCTTTTTTTTTGCACAGAGGAGTGTGGAATGTTGTTTTTGATGAAATCATAAATTACGATTGTCTCTGGCTTTGTGCAAAGAACATATACTCCCAGCCACTGCTAGAGTTCTGAAAAAAAACTTTTCTTATTTTATTATATGCTGATAAATTTCAAAATGTTTGCATATATACTTACTGGGTAGACAGTTCCATTGAGTAGACAGCCTGGTGGTACCGCTGTAAGGTAGAACAAATATAGTGCCAAGTTTAGGGGGGGGGGTTTAAAGAAGAAGAAAGACTTGAAAGTTACTGGTCATTTTGTTGACAAGATCCGATAACAGAAGGCAATTGATTTTTACCCTGCTGCTCAGTGTTTTCTTCAACAACATTGTCTCCTGAATAAGCTCTAGCAACCTTATCCAGTACATAACAATTTTATCTGCTGGTTCATGCACAATAAAAAAAGCCTAGTACTTACTGCATCTAAGGACAGAACAGCAACTTCCTTCTAGCATCTCTATATGTGACTCATAGCCCGCTTCACATGTCTTTATGGATTCAGGGCAGAAGCTAACGTTGCAGCCTGTATAAGATAGGGGGAAAAAAATTCATCATATTTAATTATAGAATATTTGGTATTGTATGAACAAGCATTTCTTAGGTTTCCCATGCAGCATAATGAGCACTACAGCTGTAGGAGCCCACATGTAATGCAGGGTAGCCTGGGAGATGAGAAGATAACCCTCTGTTTAGCCTTTACATTTTTAAAGGTAATGAGCTGTACTCTTAACCTTAATTCTTAACAGGAATGGGTTTAAAGGTTAGGAGAGTGGATTAGTGAAAACTTCTTTTCCTACAATCAAAGAGAAGCTTGAGAATGAAAATGTATAAGGATGTGAAAATCTAGTGACTTGTAGGATTTCACGGGACTTCATGAAACCTCTAAACAAGTTTTCCAGAGTTTTCGAGATCTTGTGAAATGGCTTAGGCATTTTCTCATGGGAAAGGTTTGTTTTTTTTTAGTGAAGCTTTTTTGTTTTCAGTGCCATTATTAATATTTACCTCTAGGGGTGACACAATTAGTTTTCTTCCAACAGTTAAAAATGCTTAGAAATTTAAAATGACTATTCTGTAGACACCTGTGTTTTCCTTGTGTTGACAGAAAAAATCTGTCTGGGAAAGGAACTGTATTTATTTTTAAAGGTGTTCCCTTCAGGCTTCTAATAAATGCTGTGAACAACTGGGATAGGGGAAGTGACCACTCAGTAACTGAAGCAACGCCCCAAATGCTGAAAAGGTATCCCCAAATTCCACACAAAAAATATCCTGAAAGCTTGCAGAAAAGGACAGTTTTCTTGCCATTTTCCAGTTGGTCTAATAAAAGGTATAATTTTGGAACCAAGAGTTCTAGTTTTTTGTACATACACAAAAAATATTGCATTTCTCACGTGGAAGAGTTGAGAGACTACTTACGACATTCGGTACTGGGACAGCATTTATCATCTTTTGTCCATATTTTCACAGGGATATACCCTGCCTTATCACAAGATACTTTGCTGACTTGTGGACATTTGCGTGGTTCACAGTGCACTTCAACAGTGGAGTTGTCACAGAAACAGTCTTGGCAATCACTCTCCCATGTTGTTCCAGGCTGGAAAAACAGAAAAAATATTGCTTAGAATAGAATCATCTGTTTGTAGTTGATTTATTCAGAGCTATAAGCTATACATAATGACATCAATGTTTTTCATATACTTTAATTTTTACAAAGGAACCTAAAATCCTGAAACGCTATAAGAATCCATGTGTTCCCAAAGGTCCCTGAGCATAATTGCCTTTCTCCACATATTTTGGTCCGTTCTTAGTTTTTGATGGAAATATGAAGGCATGCTGCATCTATATGTGTGCCTTGAATGTGGGAAAAATTATTGCATGAGATAATGGCTTAGATCCTAGGTAATAAAATGGGACCAGTAGAAACTATGCAGTTGAGGAACTGGGGCTGCAAAGTTTCTGGCCACAACTACTTTTCCTTCTGTCCATTCTTTTATTCCTAATAACTTTTGTATGCCAAAGTTAACCCCCCATCCTGACCCCAGTATATTAGATTACTTGTAGTACTATTTGTCCTTATTTTTTAATGAGTCATGGAAACTTTAGAGAGAGAAGAACCCATTACTTGCAACTTAATCTCTCTTAAAATAGTATAGGTTTGTGAATTCAGATGCTTGCAGAATATTGGGACAGACTATTTGCAAAAAGTATATTTCCTCAAACCTGTTAAAAAGATTTGGCAAAACCTGATTTTCATACTTACCGCTTTGGACTCTCCACCTGGTGCCACACAAACTGAAAGAATGAAGACATGCATATTAATGCTACTGTCATGATTTAGCATAACAATTGTCAGTAAGGTCAGGTAGTTTGAAACAGTGATATCCGAAAGAGAAATTCTACAAGAGGACTAGGAGATTGATTTGGACACAGATGAAAATTTTCAGAGATGGGAGCAGAGCAGATTTACTGAAGGCACAATTTTAAAATAAAATGACCAGTAAGATGGGGACAGGGAAGATGTCAGAATTTATGTAAGTCATTTCAGTAAACAATGGTTGAAATATGATTAAGATCATGTAAGTGAAAAGATTTTTTCAACCTAGTGCTCAGTACACATTTATCTATACATTAAAATAATCCAGGTGGCAATTACTATGACTGTTAATCTCTGTGGAGAAGAGCTGGAGGATCATAACAGTGCTGCATATCAGGACTGAGATGCTCTGAGAAAGCTATGTAGGGGAATTATATGTGGGTCATGCTTGCAGTGGGTTTTGAACTGGCCTGGGTTATTGGTTACTTGCTTTCATAAGCAATGCTAGTTCACCCTACTCAGTATTCTTTTAAAATCCAAGAGTGCAGTCCAGCACCCACGGATGTCAATGGAAAGGCTGTTGATGCAAACAGACACTGGATTGGGGTTCTAGATAAATAACAAAAATATTCAGCTCTTATATAGGTTTTCTTCATCAGTACATCTCAAAATACTTAACCAAGAATGATAGTGAAGTGACTTGGCCAGAGTCCGTGGCAAAGGTGACAATGGAACACCAACCCCTAGCCTGCCAGCCAAAGCCCTATCTGCTCTGAGAATAAAGCACATATTACTCACTGCATCCAGGGACACATGTTTTACTATCTGAATTCAAGAAAGTCTTTCCTTTAGGGCAGAAACATCCTTCAGTTAGGCCAATGCTGCTGAGTTGAATATCCCTGTAACAATAAAAAAGACATACCTTACTGTACTGCTTTTTCTTGTAGTCATTAAACAACTAAGTGCAGTCTGTGCAAGAGGTTACAGCCTACAGATAATGGATATATGTCACGGCCTACAGATAATACATATATATGAAACAATCGGCTTTGTAAATAAAAAAATGGGAATTTCGGGTTATATTCTGAATTGATTTTTGGTTCAATAGTGAAACGATTCATCCCAAAGTCCTAAAATCACCAGGTAATATTTTTGCTGTGAATTATTGACTAGCTTTACTTGTTAAGGATCCTGCATGACAAAGATCCATTAGGACACACTGAACTTTGATTTTTCCCATACCTTGGGTCACAAGTTTGAGGATTAAGAGGTCCACATGCCTTATACACTGTACCCGCTGGACAGGTGAATGCTGTAAGGAAAAGGGAAAATATTTGAGTTACATTTAGCAGTTAGAGATCCCTTGTATCTCAGTGAACTCCTCATGTTTTTCAAGCTCAAATTCTGCTAGTAGGATAGTCATTGGGCATGTCTACATGAGACACTACTGTTCAATGGCTACTGCGCATTTATTAATACTTGTATAGGCAAGTAGTAAATAAATGAGCAGTAATTGGACTTACTGTGCAGTACTGCCAGTGAATGTCTTTTAAATGACACTACAGTGCAGTAGCCTAATAGTACTGCGCAGCAGCGTATTAGCACTGTCTGTGCTGTGACGTGCTGCTAGAGAATTATTTGGCTATTGCGCAGTCAGTGACTCATGTAGATGTGCTCACTTTCACAACAGTTAAGGATGGTTGGTAGGCTGAGTTGTGACACATGACTTTTAGTCTATCCCTGTACTCCGTATCATCATTTTACACTTATAAGCGCCCAGTCTACTTTTTTCCCTTCCAGAAATCTAATAGTATAGTTTCATGTAATGACTAGGTGGATACTAACATAATACAGTGAAATAGTGGCTTTCCCTTTCCCAAAACACAACTAGCCAGATTTTAATATTGGTTATATATGGGTAAATCCATAACCATTTCAATCAGACAGAGACATAGGCACTAGGGCTGGAAGGGACCTCACAAGATCATCGGGTCCAGTCACCTGCCCAATGAGCAGGAAGTGAGCTAGGGTCAAAGGATCCCAGCAAAATAGGCATCCAAATGTTTCTTGAAAGTGTCCAGAGTAGGTGCTTGTACCACCTCTGGAGGGAGCCTATTCCAGGCCTTGGGGATTCAGACAGTAAAGAAGTTTTTTCTTATGTTCAGCCTAAAACAGTCTTGGAGGAGTTTGTGACCATTGTACCTTGTCTTCCCTTGTGGGGTCCTGGTGAACAGGCGTTCCCCCAGATCCTGATGCGCTCCCCTTATGTACTTATAGGCTGCCACCAAGTCACTGCTGAGCCTATGCTGCTCCAGGCTGAAAAGTCCCATGGTACTCAACCTCTCTTCGTAAAGGCTGCTTTCTTGCTCTCTGATCATGCACATGGCTCTCCTCTGGACTCTTTCAAGTTTCTCCACATCCTTTCTGAATTGTGGACCCACAACTGGATGTAATACTCCAGCTGTGGCCTCACCAATGCCGAATACAGCAGGAGGATGACTTCCTGGGTTTTGCTTGAGATGCATCGGTAGATGCAAGCCAGAGTTTTATTCGCTTTGCTAGCTGTGGCGTCATATTGGTGGCTCATGTTCATCTTGTGGTCAATCATGACCCCCAAGTCTCTTTCAGTCAGGGTGCTAGCGAGTGTAGCACTGCTGAGCCTATAAGTGTGATGTGGGTTTTTTTTTTCCCCCGAGATGAAGCACCTTGCATTTCTCCATATTGAATGCCATCAGGTTTTCATCCGCGCACCTTGTGAGCCTGTCAAAAGTCAGGCTGGATCACCAGCCTATCCTCCACTCTTCCCCATGGTTTGGTGTTGTCAGTGAACTTAGCCAGTCCACTTCTGACACCAGAGTCCAGATCATTTATAAATATATTAAAGAGAACAGGTCTGAGAACAGAGCCTTGGGGGACACCACTGGTCACTGGGTGCCATGTTGATTTAGTTCTGTCAACTACCACTCTTTGGTAAAGCTACTCTAGATTTATACTGATATAAGATCAGAATATCATATTTACAGAGCTAGCTCCTTGATGCTCCACATTAACACCAATGTGAGTTAAATATGTAAATATTGTTTCCAAAGCCTGCATCCCCTGAGTCATGTTCCTATTAAACCACTGAGATAGGAACATAATACAGGACATAGAAGCACGGGACTGGAAAGGGTCTCCCAGGTTATGGAGTCCAGTCCCCTGCATTCCCAGGCAGTAATTTGCCCAAAGATTCCTAAAAATCATCCACTCTAAAACCTCATGTATAAGAAACACCAAGAACACCTTAAAACATGTCACTGATACAATGAAGGGGAGGCAAAGGCATTGCCAGAGAGACTTGTTATGGTTTATAGTGTATTATGGAAAGATTTTGTGTTAGGACCAACTTAATATGTTCCCATTATAACAAATAAAGTGCTTCATTATTACACATTTTTTTTAATGCTACTGTACTTACGGCATGTGCCATTGGTTTCATTTCTCCAGTCAATGCAAACACCTCTGCTGGCACACCAAAAAGCATACAGCTCCAAGCTTGAACACAGTATAGAGGGCTTCCTCATGCGACATTCATCAAAAACACAGCCCTTGTAAAAAGGTTCTGGTGGGATCACTTTATGACATTCTTCAAAAACTCTTTACATGCAACAGGAAAAAAAAATCAGTTTCACTTCATCTGGTCCCTATACAAAATCTGCTCTAGCCCAAGTAGATACCACACATGTATATTTTATCCTCCTAAGATATGAGGTTTTCAGGGGAAATTTGTCTGAGCTTGAAAAAGGGGCACAAATTGGGGAGAAATGTTCAAGAATGGAAAGGCTGGGAAGTTTGAAGCCATCAGAACTATTATTTTCAATTTGCCTACGATTTAAGACTCCTATAGAATATAGTGTCTATTTATCCATTTAGCTGTTAACAGACCAGACTCATTACTCTCTTCCATAGAAAGCATTTGACAAATTTAAAATGCAGTTATGAAAAAGGATATTGGAGTATAAATAGATATACACTGGGTGCATCTACACATGTGCTTTAATGCACCGGAGCCTATTTTACTGTGCATTAAAGCATCACATAAAAAAAACCCTGTGCAATTATGCTAATGCAGAGTAGAATAGGCTATGACACATTAAGCATCACTTAAAAAAATGTGCTTTTGGTACTGTGCATTAGGGCAGTCTAATGCATATTTATTTAGTACTTCACATTGGAGGTACTAAATTTAATGTGCATTAGGTAATGTGCATTAATGCATGCGTAGACATGCACACTGAAATGTAGATAGGAAGGTAAATAATTTTATAGTTAAAAGAAACAATTTTGAGCTATTTTATGCAGCCCAGAAAATTTGGATTTTGTTACTGACCAAATCCCTGATCTGTTAATATTCCCCACAGAGAACTGTGCGTTAACTCTGAAAAGCTCCTTCACATCAAGAATCATTTGTATAGGACTTCCATTACATTTGTGACCTCGTGCAACTGGCATAACTGCTTAGCCATCAGAGATGTGCATCAGGAAACCTTAGAATTTGGCCTGTATTTCCTGAGGATATAGTTCTTATCCCCCTCACCCCCAGCTTTTCTCAGATACATGAATAATATTGCCTAAGTCAGAGAAGATCAAAGAATTCAAGTTTGATCTTACTTGCTCAAAATAACCTTGCAGGGTGAAGAAGGTTCACACGAGAAAGGAGGAGGTGTTGTAATGATAGGTGGTGGTGTCAAACAAGTTTGATTGTCAGAAACTTTCCAGTGATAAGCCATTTTGGGACAAGAAGAAATGATCTGACCATCTGGCAAGCGGCATTCATCTGATTTATTATTTGTGCATGTGCCTGAAAGATATCAAAAGGAACCAGATGAGAAGGCAGGTAAGCCACTGACAAAATATGTGACATTATGCTAGGATCAAATTCAAAACTGGTGTGCATGCTGAATTGGTCAAATAGTTTGGGTATGATCCTATTCCACTTATTAGATGCTGATTAAGATGTCACCTAATAATGTGGCTAAGTGTAATCCTATTCTACCCTTTTCAAGTCCATGAAAAAAAGTTAATACAAAAGTTGGAGGCATCCCTCTCCTGCTTGCTACTTTGTGTGACATAGCTTTAAAGCTATAATGATGCCATGTTAGAGAAGTAGGTGCATTAAGGTTTTTTGAGGGACTTGAGAACACTTAGGCACCTAACAGATGGAAAGAATTGGGCCCTTTCTACATTTAGATTGCATTGCTGATAGGTAATACATTTTAATCTCTACTGAGTTGATTTAGTCTTGTTTTTCCAAGATTAAAACCAAAATAAAAATTTCGGTCATTCTAATATTTAGCTTCTGAGCCCATATCTTTGAGCAAATGGAATATCAGTGACCAACTCCAACAGGTTTCCTAATTTTAGTTTACTTCCCTTTGACAAATTCCTGTCAGTGATAATCCTGAAGAGCTGATGAACAAAAACAGAGGAAGTGGGAAAGAGAGGGGTTAATAAATCCTTACCACACTGTCCTTCAGTGTTGTTGCCAAATTTGCTGTATGGGAGTTGTATGGAGAAGACATATCCATTAAATGTGACGATGGCTCCAATCTCAGGTATTTCAGCAATCATTTGAATACCACGCATGGCAATCAAAATGCCATCCTGGTTCAAGCCTGGTTCGACAAGTTCGCCATTGAAATAAATCTGCATGTGAGGTTTAGAAAAAATATATGAGTGCAGGAGTCCCTTTTTAATGTGTCATTTAACACTCATATTGCTGTTCCTCATATTCCACACTAGTTGTTCATAACAATAATTCACATTGTTTAATGTTTCTCTCTGCTGCTTTACAGTCCCTTTGTGACTGAGTTGCAGGATTAACTATTAAAGCAACCCTGTGCAATTAGCTTTGTTCTGCATATTAGTTATATTCTGTTTGTGCTGGTACTATCCTAAGATACATTATTCCCCAGCAAAATGTAATGATTGATAATATCATTAGTTACTGTATGGGGACATTTTCCTTTGTGGTAATTTTTATTTAATACAATGGTTTCATAATTTTTATTTCATAACTATGAAATTAAATGTCATAATTTTTATTTAATGACTACTTTTTTTTGCTCTTTAAACTAAACTGTTAAAGATACTGGCTGGTTACAAATTCTGGTTTTTAACAAAAGTATAAATATTTGGTTAGTGACTTTTTTCTGAAGGATTTTTTTCCACATTAGAAACTTAATTTCTTTCTCATTTGACTGAGAGGAAAATGACACGGTTACATATTCTTCACATACTATTTTTCTCAGACTTGATTTCTGATCTGACTACAATGCTCAGCATGCCCATCTCTATCCCTGTCTGTAATTTCAGCTGGAATTCTTGGCATGATTTCACAGAGGGCGATTGCAAGTGCTTTTACATCTTTCCCTTCCACTCATTCTGGTCATCTAAGTGTCTGGTCCATCCCCAGTATCAAGGGCAGCTTGTGATAACCTCTCATTTTCACCAGCTCCCAACAATCACTTGGTATCTCTAGGGTGAAGCCCACTCTAGTTCATACCTTTCTCTTCAATCACATCCTTGATTCAGGAAGGGAATGGGGAAGAAGTCATTCATGTGGATCTATATTGACAGAGATCCATACTAAAGGGATAGGTCCCTATTTAGCTACCACTCTTGGGCTGAATTATGGTTTGTCTATTCAAGGGAAAATTGGTCCTGTGGCATTTATTTGTATTGCTTCCTAATGTTTTTACAAATATGCAGTATATACATTTGCATGAGATGGGAGCCCTCTGGGAACAATGAATCTCTGTGCCAGCGAAGGATTGTGTCTTATTTTGTGATCCAAAATAGGATCTTTTGAATTTACTCAAGCCTTATTTAACTAACTCATTGACATTTGTGTGTGTACCTGTTGTGTGACAAATTATTGTAATGGAACTTTTTTCAGAGTCCTATATATTTTACAGTTCTACATGCCCCCTACTTCGTAAGCCTCTTTCCAATTTTGAATGTATTTCTATTTAATGTATTAGTCTGTTTCCTAATTTTATTTATATTTCCAGTGACAAGAGGTCCAAAACCTTCTCTGATATATTTTATTCTCAGGAATTGGCCTGATCTTTCTGCCCTATGAGGCTCTCTACCCAAGTTGTGTCTATACTATGGTGAACACTAATGGACTCAGGTTTTCAAATGAGTTTCAGAAATATGCCTGTACACCCTGTTTCTCCTTGGCTGAAATGGGAAACATGGGGGGAAAACCCTGAAGTATTACAATTTACCTTGTTAGCCTGTGCTCCGCTACCAGCTTCACGGGTCAGTACTATTTTTGCAGACTTGTAGAAAATAATAATGGCTTTAGGACAGGAAAGTCCTGCTTTTGCATCGCAGAAATAATTGTCAATGTAAACCCGGAAGTTGTCGTACACAGGTATAATCTGCTTCACCAGGACATATGTGCAGTTTTGTAGGAAGGTGTAATAGGTTCCATCAAAAGTAATGTAATGAGGATCCCCCCAGCCACTACATGTACCTGATAAAGAGAAAACAGTGTGGAAGGTTACAATTAAAGTGAATTTAGAAAAGAGAATTTGGAAACTGAGGCTAAAAAGACAATGGCACCATTTATTCTATTTGTTTTGTGCAGTGTCAGTTGTTTGCCTCCTTAATTCACTTGCCACTTACATTGACATTCGTAGTGGTGACAGCAGCCAGTTTCATCAGTCACCAATACTGGTGGGTATCCATTTGCACAAGTAATTTCCCTTGCAGGAGGGCAATATTTGTTTTCTACAACAACCGTGTTATTCTCACACTTCGCTATTGTGCAGTTAGACGGATTCCAAGTCTCACCATTCTGTAACAGAGAAAGGGAGTGGTATCACAAAAGCTTATAATCATACTTGAACTTTATCCAGATTTGTATTTCCATAATGCTTGCAACAGGGGTGGAACTGGGGAGGAAAAAAATCATATATCTTTCTTTAATGACTGTCACTCATGCTTTACAGGTTTTGGAAACAGTTAGTTGTGCAGTACATTATATACTACCCAAATAACCAGAACAGCTCTTCTGTTGCTACCTAGACATTCTAAACCCATTCAGTCTGAAATAAAAGCCAGCCAAGGAGTATGGTAACCTAGAAAATGAGTTATACACAACTGAAACAATGTACAGACACACATAACAATTTAATTATTCCAAGACTGCCACTGATTGGGAATGAGTTCTCAATTATACCTGGTCAGAGGTATCCACACATACACTACCAAGGGTTCCAAGCACTGTTTTTAGGCCATGCAATGCTGTCGAACTATCACCACGGGATGGTAGTGAGCACTTGGCCCAGCATGCCTCTCAGTGGCAAGTGTCCAGAGTTTCCCCAGGATTCCCTGAGCAGGGGAAGAACTTGACTGACTAGATTCCATGAAAGAGGAAGAAGGTGACATCAATTGCCTGCAACTGCAATTTTCTGAATCCCCGTTCTCAGTAGCCCTGAGTTCAATAACGAGCAACTGAATTTGATAAAGACCATTCCTATACTTTACTGAAATATGTATTGTCCTACCTGCCTGGTGATGCCTGGACCCCTGCTTCTAGGCTACTGGTGTGTGTGTGTGTGGGGTGGGGGTGCTGCCAGAGCTTTCTCAGCTTTTAAGAGAAGTTTTCCTCAAGGCACTCATCAGTTTACTTCAATTCCTGACAAATGACCAGGGTTGGGTGCATCCCAAACTGATTTGGGGGTAGAGGAGCGATCACATGGGGGGGGGAGGGCCTGATCCCCCTGCCCCCCTGTCCCCCTAATTCTGCATTCCCAGGGGGATGGGTACTCCAGAGGTTGCCCAAGGACTATGGCTCAGGTAGATTTATGAAGACTTTCATGAGAAACTCCTTATTAATTTCAGCTGCTCTCAGTGGACCCCATTCCATGGCATCCAAGGCTGATTTGGGGTGGGGGTGAAGGGGTGGCCAGGTTGGAAGGGTGGCTACCTGGACCTTTATTGTTTGGTTTCAACCCACCTGGCTACCCCTCCACCCCAAAGCAGCCTGGGATGCACCAAACCCCAGTCAGTTGTGAGGAATGGAAAGAAATTAACAAGTGGCTTGGGGAAAAGTGATGTTTAAAAGCCATCACCAGCAACTGAAAGTCTTTGGGGGAAAGTGCTCTTTTGAGGATGCAGCGGGAGGCACACACCTTGGTGAGCCCCAGTGGATCCCACCCCTGGGATACCAGAATCATGGAGCCACCCTGCTTCTGGTGGGAGCACTATACCTTCCCATCCCCAAATCAGCAGATTGTGGCTAAGTGCAGGCAATAGAGGTTGGTGATGTAGATATCTGACTCTCTACCAGACCAGCCAGTTGCCATGCAGAGATATGGGAAAGAGGAGTATGAACAGTGCAATGTGGGATGCCTGGAGGACCAACAAAACACTAGTCATGGAAAGCTTGCTGTCTGCATATAAAGCTTAACTGATTCATGAAGCACTAGTTCAAAATAATAGCTAATTATGCAGATATACTTTTGAATTCTTCCAGGAGGTTTAGCCTATTCTGAGCTGGCTGGTTCATGTAGACGCTTGTGGTTTAAACCACACTTAAAATTGTCTAAGTATTATGTCTGAACCCTGTGCTTCATATTTGAGAAAGTTAGGCATTCTTAACTCCAGGTGTCATTTCTGCTTCAACTGATGGTAACAATGATACTCTTGCAAGGGGAAGAAAAATGAAAGCTAAATCCTGGCAATGTATGTGCGGCATGGTGACAGTTAGCTGTTCAGAGTTGAATGGGCTCATCAAGTTGAAAGAACACACAATGCAACAAATTTTGAAGAGACATCAAAGAAAGTTTGTATAGCTAGTCTGTACGCCCTAAGTCTTGGCTGTGGTCACAGGGAGTCCATGCCCTCCCTAACACATTTCTTCACAGGGTGATAGCAGATGACACCAGGGATGGCTTGTGTATGCAAGGACCACTATGACCATTCATATACTGCAGAAAGCTTCTACACTGCAGCCCAGCCAACTTTATGAGAAAGAGGGGAAGTTTAGGATGTATAGAGATACTGGTAAGGGTACAGGAGGCCAGGAACAAAGCTTTCCAAACTACCGGTGACAATGTCAGATTTTTCAGTTCTTTGCATAAGCAATGAATGCAAGTATGGGGCGGGGGGGCAAGCCTCTTTACTTCGGTGTAAATAACGGCAAAATTGGGACCTTGCTGGATAAAGAACATCAAAAGTTGTGCATTTGAGTTGCAACTAAAAACACGTTAGAAGATTAATTATCATTGTCAGTTATAAGGTTGCACAAATAACCAAATCTTACTAGAAATAGCTTATGGGGGTTTGCACTCAATGCTGTAAAAAATGACTGAAAACATCAAATGGTATTTCAGTATTAAAATACATAAACATTCTACATTGATACAGCTTTATTACCAAAACAACTTTGAAGACTAAAAAAAGAAAAGTAGAAAACAAATACCTTTCTGTGTGGCTTGACCTTCTGGCATCCTGTAGGGGGTGTTATAATAGTAGATGCAGTGACTGTTGGCAGAATAGTTGTTGCCGGTGTTGTTGTTGCTGGTGTGGATGTATTACACCGTTCCTGGAATCTAGAAACCGAACAATTGCTAGTACAAATGGCATAAAAAACACATCCATCACTGTCTGTGGTGTTGTAAATCACTTCACCTGTAAAATATAAAACCACAGAAAATAGTGTGCAACATGAAAACGAAACAAAAAAGGACAAAAATACTTCATTTAATGGATGACAGATAATTGATACCCATACAACAAACTGCTTGTACTACCCTGCTTAGTAAAAATAAAAATTAAAGTCAGAAAAAATTACTTCTATTAATATATGAATTCCGTAACAACTTACCAGGTTGATAAAGACTTTCCCGGACCTGGCAGTGACAAGCACGGGGTGTTGTTGTTCTTGAAGTAATAACAGACATTGATGGTGTGCTAACTGCTGTGGTCTCTGGGATGGTGGTTGTACTTGGGCACTTGGGGATTTCCTCACAGCACATAATGCGAACCTGGTAGTTGAAGCATATCCTGAACTTCCCAACCTGTTCCTCATTCTTGCAAACAAATCCAAAACTGACATCACACCGCACGACTTGACCAATGTTCTGAATACTAATATTAGGAAAGTTTTCTGCCCGGCATTCAATGTCTGCAGGCTGTCCACAAATAGAAACTCCCGCTGCCCTAATGTTGTGAAAGGTTTCCCAGTCTCCATCTCCCGGTTCTGTGGAGGGGAAATCAACATCAAGCCATTTGCCCCACGTGCATATTGGCTCACAAGCAGTAGTAGCTGTACTAGTTGATGTAGTGGTTGCAGTGCTTGGGGACGGGGTTGAGGGCCTCACGGTGGATGGAGAGGCTCTGGTGCCCTTTGTGCTCGTGCTGGGTGCTTGAGGTGTAGTGGTTGGAGTCGTTTTGGAGTGGGTAGGGTGTGTAGACAAATGGGTGGTGGACTGGGTGGCAGTTGTGACAGTTGTGGATGTGTGCGGAAGAGTGCGTGTTGTGCTCTGGGTGGAAATAGTGGTCTTTGTGCTGGTTGGCAGGGTGGTAGTTGTGGAGGGGGTTTCAGAGGTCGTTGTTGGAGGGGGCACCGTAGTTACGGGTGTGCTGGTTTCTGTCATAGGCGGTGGTGTCGTGAGGGGCGTAGTGACCACGGTTGTGTGATGCGTGGTTGAGCTGACCTCTGTGCTGGTTTCTGTGCTTGTAGGTGGCGAGGATGTTTCTGTGGCTCTGGTCCTGGTTGGCACAGTGACAGTGGTGGTGCTGATTAGTGTGGTCGGAGGTGGAGTGCTGCCTGTTGTGGTCACTGGGGTTGGTCGGAGGCGGTGTGCTGCCTGTTGTGGTCACCGGGGCGGTGGTTGGACTTGTGCAGTTGGGGGTTGGCCCGCCTACAGCAGAAGACACGTATCTGGTAGTTATAGCACATGTTGAATTTTCCGGTTTGGTCCTTGTTCTTGCACACCAGCCCGAAGTGCACGTCACACAGCACGACTTGTTCAACTTGGTTGATGCTTATGTCCTGTTGGTTTTCAGCTCGGCACTCAATGTCTGCAGGCTGTGCACAGATCTTTTCTCCTGCTGCCCTAATGTTCTGGTAGGTTTCAATGTCCCCCTCTCCTGCTCCCGAGTACGGGGAATCAACATCAAACCATTTGCTCCACGTGCATACCTGCTCACAAGCGGTAGTTGCAGTAGTGGTTGTGGTGCTTGGGGCCGGTGTTGAAGGCACTACGGTGGATGGAGAGGCTGTGGTGCCCTTTGTGCTCGTGCTGGGTGATTGGGTTGTAGTGGTTGGAGTTGTTTTGGAGTGGGTAGGGTGTGTAGACAAATGGATGGTGGACTGGGTGGCAGTTGTGACAGTTGTGGATGTGTGCGGGAGAGTCTGCGTTGTGCTCTGGGTGGAAATAGTGGTGTTTGTGCTGGTTGGCAGAGTGGTAGTTGTGGAGGGGCTTTGAGAGGTCGTTGTTGGAGGGGGCACCGTAGTTACGGGTGTGCTGGTTTCTGTCGTACGAGGTGGCGTCGTGACGGGTGTAGTGACCGCAGTTGTGCGATGCGTGGTTGAGATGAACTCTGTGCTGGTTTCTGTGCTTGTAGGTGGTGAGGATGTTTCTGTGGCTCTGGTTTTGGTTGGCACAGTGACAGTGGTGGTGCTGATTAGTGTAGTTGGAGGCGGTGTGCTGCCTGAAGTGGTCGACGGGGTGGTGGGTGTACTTGAGCAGATGGGGTTTGGTGTGCAGCACCTGACACGTACCTGGTAGTTGAAGCATATCTCGAACTTCCCGACTTGCTCCTCATTTTTGCACACGAGCCCAAAATTGATGTCACAACTCACTTTCTGACCGACATTGTGGATGCTTATATTAGGAAAGTTCTCAGCACGGCACTCAATGTGTGTAGGCTGTCCACAGATCTTCTCTCCTGCTGCCCTAATGTTGTGGTAGGTTTCAATGTCTCCATCTGATGGTCCTGAGGTGGGGAAATCAACATCAAGCCATTTGCTCCACGTGCATACCGGCTCACAAGCGGTAGTTGATGTAGCGGTTGTAGTGCTTGGGGCCAGTGTTGAGGTCCCTACGGTGGATGGAGAGCCTGTGGTGCCCTTTGTGCTCGTGCTGGGTGCTTGAGTTGTAGTGGTTGGAGTCGTTTTGGAGTGGGTGGGGATTGTAGACAAATGGGTGGTGGACTGGGTGGCAGTTGTGACAGTTGTGGAG